GCCACGGCACTCTAGCCCGGGCAACACAGTGAGACTCTTGTCTCAAAAAAAAAAAAAAAAAAAAGAAAAGGAAAGGATGCAGAGCTGTGAGTATCAATAATGAAGTAAAATAGGAAAATAGTGACCACGTTGTTTTTGGTTGCTGAGAGTCTTTAAATTTTACTTGGGTTTGTATTTTAGAGTAAATGATGTGTTCATTCCAATTCCTGTTGACATCTATCGCTATTCTTTTGTGAATTATGATTGGAACAGATTGCAAAATCTCTTGGTGTATCAGTTTTCCTAAAATAAGCCTTTAAAAGCAGTTCATTATCTATAATTCTATCCTGGGTTAAAATAAAAATCTACTTTCTAGGTCACTCTTCATTAAGCTATTAATATCCTTTTCATATTATAAAACTTTTAATTTCCTTTATTAGCAACTGCAAGTAGCTGAAATATGAATGTCATTGTTTTGAATCTTAATTGATATTTTAATTCTTTTTAGTGATTTAATGATTCTTTGTTCTGAGGCCAGCAACCTTCATCCGGGCACACACAGGTACAAGGAACTTCCCCAACATATCTGTATTTACTGAGCCATATTTATATTTTTGTTTTACTTCTGGTGATGAATGTGCCCATTTTCTATGATTTTCGTTGCAGCAAAATTCAAGAATTGTCACAGGGACCCTTAGCAGTACATTTAGTAAAGCCTGAATTTTATCCTGCTTTATTTTTAAGAAAAGGAAAACCTCTTCAGCATAGATAAATGAGAACTCAATTTCGTAAGTTCAGAGCAGCATCTGAATTTTTGGTTCATTTTATTAATTGATATATAGTACCATCAAAAATATTTAAGCGTTTTAGATGCATTTTATTCTAGATAAAATTCACATCAAGGAAATAAGATTAGTGGAAAGAGCTCTGGAGTAAGAGTCCTACACCACTTTTTCTTTCTCCTCTGTGCCTTTTGCCAAATAAACATGTCTCTGAGTCACTTTGTTATCTTTTATAAAACGAAAGGATTGAATCATGGTGACTATTCTTAATTGTTGCCGAGTTTTAGAATTATAAAAGTAATATAAAATTATAGAAAACACAAACCGTGTAGATATACATGACACACAAGGCACAACTTCTCTGTAATTTCGAACCTTGGCCAAAAGCACTGTGCACTGTTTGCTGCTGCCTGACTGATGCACCCTTGCATGAGTATGCCGTTGCTTATTTACCTGTTCAAGGACATTTGGTGCACTTTGAAGTTTCAGTTGCATTCCACATGCAGAAACTACCAAAGAACAGTCTTGTACACATTTTAGAATTTATATGTGAAAATGTTACATAAAAGTTTGTGAGCATTTAAATTTTCACTTTTGCTACCAGAAAAGCTATACCAAAAATGAACATTGCAGATTTTAAAATTTCTTTGCAAATCTGTTTGTTGCAAAACAAGGCCTCTCCCTTCTTGAGTCCCTTCTTCCACCCATGTCTTTGTGAATAGCTCCTTCATTAAAGCCTCCCCAGGTTCCTTTTAGATTGCAGGTCTTGTTTCCTGATGGGACTCTACAACTCTGTGGTCTCCAAGTTTGATGGTGATAAAAGTGTATTCACTAATTTATCCAAGAATTTTTGGGGGCTGGTATTGTACCAGAGCCTAAGGCCATAGTGATAAACAAGAGTATTATCTTTCATAGTTGCTTTTATGGAGCATAAGATCTAGTGGCTCAGGGACAAAATGTTAATTAGATAATGGCAGGAATGCGTGTGTACTTCCAAACTGAGAAGAGAGTTTTGTGAATACAGAAGGACCTGACTCAGCCTGACGGTGGTGGCTGGCAGGGACAGGCACTTCAGGGAAGGGCTCACGGGGAAGTGATCTTAGCTCTGAAGATGATTAAGAGCTAAAGGTCCATGGAGATGGGGATAAGAAGTAGGCTGGGAAGCAGAGCTTTATAATCAGAGGAGACTGAATGTGCAAAGGCCCTATGGCAGGAGGTAGCAAAGCAGGTCTGATTTGCTGAAATAAGTCCGTGTGGGTAAGCCTAGAACACAAGATGAAGTTTGGACAAAAGAAAAGCCAGGACAGGGGCTAGAGTAAAGTCTGCCCTGCTGGCCAGATTTTATTACGTTCAAAATGCATTAGGAAGCCAGTGAAGAATTTAAGAAAAGGTGGGAATAAAAGGTTGGTGACAGTGTACGTGTGTGAGGGGTGGTGTGCACACGTGTATATATGTGTCCACAGGAGAGTAACATAATTAAATTTGCATGAACACACCTTGTAATAAAATATGAAAAGAATGCTTAGATTTTAAAACATTATGATCTTACTTATCTTGTACCAGCGCCCACGTAAGCAGATAGTTCATAATTCTTTTAGAGATAATCCTCATCAATAGTGCAGTTATTTCCCAGCATTTAGCAAGGAAACAATAATAAAGTCATTTTCCTACAGGGAATAGAGTCCCACTCCAATTTAGCATCCACAACTAACAGTTTCCATATAACTTGGTCCTTAACTACTGGACCAAAGCAGGGACATTATTAAATGTGTTTTAAAAATTCTTCTGATTAAGGTGACTAAAAAGCAAAAGTTAAACAAAGGAGGTTGAAGTAAAGAGTAGTCTTACATGTAAGGTTTTAGCTTTGCGAACAATTTACAAATAATAACTTAGTAGAAATGGGACCAGTATATGCTGATGAAAGTAGCTGTGTCTTCATTCATCAAAAGGCTACTGAAGGCCGGGCGCGGTGGCTCACGCCTGTAATCCTAGCACTCTGGGAGGCCGAGGCGGGTGGATCGCTCAAGGTCAGGAGTTTGAGACCAGCCTGA